CCTCTATTTCTCCCTTTAACTCCAGATGGATATATCCAGGGCTGGATAACCTTTTCATGTTGGAAGGCAACATTAACTTAGCTATAATTGAATAAGACCACATTCAAGAAGCTATAATTAGATATACTTAAAAATGTACATTATTTTGTAAAAATCTACTTACTGTGTACTTAAAAATTTCAAAAAATGAAAACTACTTGTTAATTTTAAAGTTAACCTTTTAATGACTTCATTGTGTTTGCTTTTTGTTGGAAAGTATTTGCATATTTGTTTGCAGCATGGAGGTCTGCAGTTTTAGTTGATCCTCTAAATTTGTAGTCCCTAACCCCTGGGCCGCCGACCAGACCGGTAGTGGTAGTCTGTGGCCTGGTAGGAATGGGGGCGAACAGCAAGAGGTGAGTGGTTGATGGGTGAGTCGTGGGTAAGCTTCATCTGTATTTACGCTGCTCCCCATTGCTCCCATCACTGCCTGAGCTCCGCCTCCTGTCATATCAGCAGTGGCGTTAGAGTCTGCATTACGGCGAGTGGGTACAGTTATTTCATTATATATTACAATGTAATAACAATATAAATAAAGTGCATAATAAATACATTTGCATTTGAATCAGCCTGAAACACCCCAACCCCTGCCCCACATCTGTGGAAAGATTGTCTTCCATGAAACCAGTCCCTAGTTCCAAAATGGTTGGGGACCCCTGCTCTAGATGGGTATTAGTCATTTGTGACCTTAAGGGCATCTTGATTTGGGTTAGGTAGAAGAATATAGATTTGCAGCTATAAGTGGTTGAAAAGCAAGAAAGCATTTTTTGGGCATGTTGCCAAAGTCATGGGAATTCTGCATTTTTCCACATTTCAATTGGCTCTTTCTTAGCATCAAACAATGACTTTGAGATGTCATCTACTGAGAGCTCAATCAATTCCATCTGTAGTTCTTTAGGTGCCTTGTTGATATCAACTAGGTAAGCCTGAAATGCTAATTTGAGTGTGATGTCATGATTCTCAAAGTCAGTGAACCTTTCAGTGTATTCTCCAATTAATAGGTCTATCACAGCTCTGTATTCTTCAGATAATTCACATATATCATCCTGCTCATCATTGGCTTTTGCTAACTGAGGAAAATGTTCATCTGCAATTTCTTTTTGAAGACGAGTTTTGAAAAAAGCTTTTTTATAAATGCTTGGATTTTTTGCCACATATCATATATAGACTTAGTTTTACCTTGCAAAGAAATATTCAAGTCATTTTGATTTGACAAAGTGTCACACAGAAATGCTGCATTCCTATAGAAATCTTTGAATAATTCACATTGCTGATTCTGTTCTTCATAAAATTTAACTATGTTCTTGCAGAGATTAAAATTTTGGCTAACACCTGTCCCTGCGATAGCCAACACACTTTAGAATGATATGGCACATCCACATTGAATACCTCATTATTTAACTTTAGCTTGTTACTTAATTGATGATGCCGTGTTGTATTTGGTCAAATATAGTTAACAATACTTACAACTTTTTGCAAAGTGTCACTTAAAGTAGCTTTAAGCAGATTTTGCTGATCCGAGTACAATGAAAGAAGTGAGAGCATCTGGATCTCTTAATACTTTTTTATCTGTGCAATAAACTCTTCATGTTTTCCTGTCATGGCAGGTGCACCATCTGTACATACAGTCATTAAATTTACCAAATTCAGTCCAACTTTATGACATTTATCTTGAAAGTTGTTGATACCTATTCCCCATGTTCTGTTTGTAAGAGTGCCCAAAGAGAGTCACTCTTTGTAGCAAAGAAAATCCTCTGTTATGACCCAAATGAAGTATAAAACCTGTGCCAAGTCATGAGTATCAGTTGATTCATCCAAAGCAATTGAATAATATATATTTTCCTTTTGAAATATTGCATGAAGTTGTTAAGTTGAAGGCTAATTCATGCTGCTGATCAGTTATGAAAGAGGCTGCTTTTTTGTACTTTGAAATGTTGGTATAAATATCATACCAGTTTGACAATGCATTCTTTCACAATTTCTTCATCACTGAATGGCTTCCCTTTTTTCCTGAGTGTATAAGCTACATTATAAGTTGTTTTGGTGGCATTATTTCCAGGTCTTATTGCTACTTGAAAGAACTGTCTTTTGTTTTTCATCTTTTAATTTCTGCCATACAACCTTTTGTGCCTCTCCCTCTAATTTAAAATATTTGTGGTCCTTATGAATGTTAATAATGCTGAGTGAGTGAGCATTGAGTTTCTTTCATGTTGATATTGCAATATCACAAAGCAAGCAAATCATATTATCTTTAGCAGAAACAAGATAATATGATCTTAACAAGATAATAAGATCTAATAAGATAATAATAAGATCTAAAGATAATAATTCCAATCCTCATAAAAAAAATGTTTTCTTCCTTCAGCATTCTCCTGGTCTTCTTTGACATGATGGACTGTTAAGCAGACAGAATTAAAAAATACTGTTGAGCTGTGCAGCTATCACAAATTCCACCTCAACAGAAACACAGTGCACATTGTCAAAAGCTGATAACAGATTGGTTTACTCGACTCCCATAAACTCTCACCAATCAGCCTTTGGGGTAGTGGGGCCTGGCAGCTGGGGGAAGTTAGAACTAAATCACCTTAGATTCAGTTAGAACTAAATAAGCTTAGCAGCTGTCAATTTAACCTTTATGGTTTACTGATGTTCTAATTGTGCTGGTCATTCAGGGAGGATTATTTCATTTAAATTTATTTTATTCTTTTGTATTTTAAATATATTCATTTTAAAAATACAAAAGATGAACAAAACTGTAGTAATAAAAGAATTTGTTCTATAAAATTTGGATTCAGTCAAATGGCTGCACTTAAGGGCCTAGAAGGCTGCATGTGGTCTTAAGGCTGCAGGTTTCCCACCCCTGGATATATCCCATTATGTAGCTGTTAGACATCCTGGTTGTCTAGTAGGCATATCAAACATCACATGACTGAAACACCGCTGACTTTCTTCCACCAAATCTACTGCTTCTGTGCCTTTCTCATCTCTACAAATTCACAACAATCCATAAAAGCTCTGCTCATCTTTACTCCTTCCTTTCCCTCAGCTCACATCCGATTTATTAATTAGGGAATTGAGAGCTGCCTCCAGAAGACAACCAGGATCTGACCACTTCTCATTGTCCCCCACTGTTTAAGCCACTAGTGGTTTTCTATGGCTCTTAGACTGAAATCTACAGTCCTTAGCTGTGGCCCACATTCAAGCAATTTACAGTGGCTGGGATGCCTGGCCTTCCTCCTCATCCAGCCTGTTCTTACCCTTAGCAGGGACTGCCAGACCCTCCAGTCTCTACCCTACTCACTACTGCCATGGGTGGATAGCAAGCACAGGGGAGGAGCAGAAACTGATCTTGGAGTCTTACTCCTTGATTTCCTTTTTCTGAAAGATTAGGCTGGGCATGATACTCATTCTTATAATTCTAACACTTTGTAATTCTAACACTAGGAGGATTCAGGCTGGGAGTTTGAGACCAGCCTTGAACAAGAGCCCAGACTCCATCTCTACAAAAAATGGGGAGATTAGCTGGGCGTGGTGGCGCAGGCATGTAGTCTTAGCTACTCAGGAGGCGGAGGGAGAAGGATAGCTTGAGCCCTGCAGTTTGAGGTTGCAATTGAGCTGTAGCTCTGGGGAGAGAGCAGAACCCTGTCTGAAAAAAAAAGTGTTAAGGACAAATTTACATACACTAACCTGCACCAATCTGAAATGTACAGTTGAATGAATTTTGAAAAATGTACAAATCTATGCAATAAACACCACAGTCAAAACGAACTTTTTTCCCCCATCATCTTTGGTGTGAGAGAAGAAAGTAGTACGTACAGAGGCATTTGAAATAAAACTGAGAGCCTCCAGAACTCCATTACCACTTTCTGCAAAAACAACTCAATATTTCCTGTGTGTTCCACGAGATTTTATGTGTGTATATATGTATGTATGTATGGACGGGGTCTCGCTCTGTAGCCCAGGCCGGTGTGCAATGGCCTCATCATAGCTGTTCTCAATCTGGAATGTACTTCAGAATCACCTGGTAAAAATTCCCAAATCCCCAATGCACAGGTAGCACGCCAGGCCAGTTAAATGAGGACATCAGGGTGGAAGCCAGAGATCCGTTTTGTTTTTAACAGCTTTGCTGTTAAAGCTCATCTATGAGGGCAATGTTGAGAACCATCATAACCTTTTGGTAATGCATTTTTAGTTCTCATCCTCTTCCCCATCAGGTTAACTCCTTCTCCGTCTTGAAATCTCATCTCAAAGTTCCTCGGGGAACTCTTTTTCTGAACCTTCTCCAGTGGCGGCGTTTCCTTGCTGTGTTACATCTGCTTGTGTATCTTTTCTTTTCTTTCTTTCTTTTTTTTTTTTTTTTTGAGGCACAGTCTCACTCTGTTGCCCAGGCTAGAGTGAGTGCCGTGGCGTCAGCCTAGCTCACAGCAACCTCAAACTCCTGGGCTCAAGCGATCCTCCTGCCTCAGCTTCCCGAGTAGCTGGGACTACAGGCATTCGCCACCATGCCCGGTTAAATTTTTCTATATAATTTTAGTTGACCAATTAATTTCTTTACAGTTTTAGTAGATACGGGGGTCTCGCTCTTGCGCTGGCTGGTCTGGAACTCCAGGCCTCGAGCGATCCTCCCGCCTCGGCCTCTCCGAGTGCTAGTACAGGCGTGAGCCACCGCACCAGCCTCTGCTTGTATTTTCATTCACGTCTGTTTCCCCCACTAGATACTGGGCGCCCCAGGACCAGGACAGGCCCGGGATAGCAGCGCGTGCCAGAGAAGCCTCCGAGCGCGCCACAGCCGAGCTCCTCCCGGGGGCCGCGTGGCTGCGGCGCCGCCCTCAACCCCACCAGCCAGGGGCCGGGGAGCCCCACCAAGGCGTCGCGGTTCCGGCGCGGTCGGCGCTGTGCGCCCTCCCGCCGACAGGCGGCGCTGTGCAGAGGCAGCGGCTTCCGGCCGGCTTCTTTCTTCTTTCTGCCGCCGGCGCCAGCACGTCCTGTTTTCTTTCGTTGGCCGCGCTGGAATGGCAGCCTGTGCTGTAGCTGCTGCCACCTCTTAGATTGGATTCTCGCCTGGCGCGCCCAGGGCAGCGCAGCTTCCTGCTTTGTCCCGTTCGCTGGCGAGTCGTCCCTCAGGGCCTCGGCTTTCGCGCGGCCAGGAGCATGGGCCGGGAGTCGCGGTGAGGCGGGCGGGCGGCTTCCTGGGGTCGTGAGGAGAGGCGGGAGTTGAGGTGGCCGCGGGGCCAGGCCTGGTGCGGGCCCACGTGCGGCCACTCGAGCGGCTGGGGGACCTTCGCTGAGAAAATGGCTGTGCTTGGGCCGGCGACGGGCATGGGCTGCCCTGGCACTGCCGCCGGCCGGTTCGAGCCCCGGAGCGGGAACTGCCCTCCAGGACGCCCGCGGTCGGCACCACGTCCCGCCAATTCCACGGAGCCTCCCTGATCACCTCAGTCAGTAGCGGTCCCAGTTGAATTCCATCGTCTCTTCACGTTTGTAGCATTTCCTAGGTGCCCATCACTCTGTATTTTAGTTCTTGTCCTCCGTCAGCCGAAGGGATCTCGGGGGCGGACATCTTTACGGCACCTAGAGCTCTGTACACGACCGGGCTTTTACCGGACTACGATAAGTATTTGTGGCGTGGACATTTATATTGCAAAGAGGTTTCGCAGTTGTTTGTTATTTGTTTTCTATCATTTTGAAACCGTGGTCTGGGAGACCTTACTAGAACTATGAAATCTCACCACAACTTTATTTTTTTTAAAGTTCACCGTTTTCCTAAAGTTATTTTTTGGTTTCGTTTTTTTTATCTTAAAATTCGTGACCCATCTGCAATGTATCTGGGTAGTGTAAGTGTGCGTGGCGAATGGAGTCGGTTTCCAAGACTTTGAGGAGGCCAGTGTCATCTTTGCATCATTCGGGACTCTGGCGTGTCCCCCAGCGGCTGGGTCAAGCTTCCTTCATAGAGCCTAGTCCCAGGAATCCCATCATCACAACTTTAGACTGTTCATAACTTGTTCGGCACTTTGAGATTTTTATCTTTTTTTTTCCTTCTTCAGAGACCCTCTTCAGAGACGGTCTGGGGTCTTGCTCTGTCGGCCAGGCTGGAGTGTAGTGGTGCGGTCATAGCTCATGGCAGCGTTGATCCTGGGCGGAAGCGATCCTCCCGCCTGAGTATCCGGAGTAGCTGGGACTACAGGCATGCGCTACTTTGCCTGGCTAATTTTTAAAATTTTTGCAGAGATGAGGTCTTGAATTCCTGGCCTCCAGCTGCCCTCCCTCCTGGGCCTCCCAAAGTGCTGGGATTACAGACCTCACCACTGCACCTGGCCGGAGGTTTTTCTCTTAAAAATGACTTTTTATATGTATTTAGCAGTGACTGAAAGATCTTTTATATGTGGGAACAGTGGGTTTTTTTTATACTAGCAGTACTTTATTGAGGTATAATTAACATTCAGGAAAAAGGACAAAGCTTAAGGGTAGAGCTTGATGAAATCTGGCAAATATAAAGACCGTGTAGTCATTACATGGGCGAAGATAAAAAATATTTCTTTACAGAAAGTCCTGCGAAGGTATTTTAAATCTCCCTGAAGGTGTTGACTTCATCTGATTACCCAGACCAGACATCTGGAAAGGATATTTATTTGACTCGTTCTTTTCTTCTTCTTTTTTTTCTTTTTGAGACAGGGTCTCGCTCTGTTTCCTGGGCTAGAGTGCAGTGGTGTCATTATAAGTCACTACAACCTCAAACTCTTGGGCTCAAGTGGTCCTCCTGCGTTGGCCTCCTAAAGTGCTAGGATTACAGGCATGAGCCACCTCCTGGCCTCATTTTCTTTTATGGCCCATATCCAGTTAGACTCTACACCCTTAACCCATTCTTGCTCTCCTTGTCTTAATTGAGGCCCTAATCATTTATTGCCCAGATCATTACTACACCTGTTTCAAATTGATTTCTTCTTGAATTGTTCCTCTCCTAATTGTTAGATCTCTCATGCTACAGCCAGTGTAACATTTTTCTACTTGCTCCAGTTAGTCGTGGAGTGAATTCTTTCTTGCTGTCACACTTGAACTTAATTTGTTAAATTTCATCAGTGCTAGTTTCAGAATATCTGGATTTTGACATGTCTTAACATCTCCACACCTGCCATTCTTATCTAAGGCATCACTGTTTCTTGTCTATATTGCTGAAGCATCCTATCAGTTTTCTATCCTTTTGCCCTTGCCTCCCTTTGTTTTGTTTGTTCTTCACTCAGCAGCTAGGGTGATATTTTAAAAACATTAGTGAGATCATGTCACTCCTCTGCTTAACATCTTCATAATGTATCTTTTCATCTTAGAGTAACAAAGTCCTTATATAATGGCCAGTAAGGAGGTCCATATATTATATAAGGCTGCCCTACTGTTTCTCTGACCTCGTCTCATGGCACTCTCTGTCTCTCATTCTTTAAACCCTAGCCACAACTGGAATCCTTGCTGTTCCTTGAATGCAGCAGTCAAGTTTCCTCCTCAGGGACTTTGCAGTTGTTGTCCTTTTTATTATTTTAAAGAGACAGGGTCTCTGTCACCCAGGCTGTAGTGCAGTGCTGCCATCATAGCTCACTGCAGCCTGAAACTCCTGGGCTCAAGTGATATTACCTGCTTCAGCCTCCCAAGTAGCTGGGACTATAGGTGCATGCCTTCATGTCTGGCTAATTATTTTTTCTTTACTATTTTTTTCGGAGCGTGGGGGGACAGAGTCTTGCTCTGTTGCCTAGGCTAGAGTGCTGTGGTGTCAGCCTAGCTCACAGCAACCTCAAACTCCTGGGCTCAAGCAATCCTCCAGCCTCAGCCTCCTGAGTACCTGGGACTACAAGTGTGCACCATTATGCCCAGCTAGTTTTTCTTTTCTATATTTACTTGTCTGGCTAATTTCTTTCTATTTCTGGTGGAGACAGGTGTCAGTCTTGCTCAGGATGGTCTTGAACTCTAGGCCTTAAGCAATCCTCCCACCTTGGCTTCCCAGAGTGTTAGGATTACAGGCATGAGCCACCTTACACGGCTTTGTTGTTTTTGCCTAGAAAGTTCCCCATGTATCTACATAGTTCCTTCCTTTATCTCCTTCAAGTCCCTGTGACAGGTGTCACATTTATTTGAATATTGATTATATTCAATATATTGATTATATGAATATTGACTATTTATATTGAATTATATTAAATGTAAATGTATTTTCCACCTATAGGTGTGCTGTAGCAGAAGGGTTCATTTCTTTTTCTTCTAATTTCAAAAAAGTTTGTAAAAACTTCTTTCAGTGTTTGTCTGCTGAATTCCTTTTGGAAAAAATGTAATAATATAAATGAACTATGTTAGAAGTGAACTGTATTTGCTGAACTTAATCTTTGATTTTATACTCCGCTAGCCACTATCGGAAGCGATCAGCATCACGAGGACGCTCTGGAAGTCGATCTAGAAGTCGCTCACCCTCAGACAAAAGAAGTAAACGTGGAGATGACAGACGGTCTAGAAGTAGAGATAGAGACAGAAGGCGAGAGAGATCCCGTAGCAGGGATAAAAGAAGATCTCGGTCAAGGGACAGGAAGCGTCTGAGGTAAGACATTAATTTCCAAAGGACCATTGGTAAATTGGGTCTTCTCAGCTAAATTGGGCTTCTTCAAAAGTGTTTTTTTTGCACCGGAATTTGGTGGTGCATTTGTGGCCCCTCTGCTTTATCCCTGGCTTCTTTGATCAGACCTAGAAGGATTTGCCTATAAAAACTCTCTCAAACAATGTTAGTTTGGAAACTTTAGGCTGTATTTCCCATAACCCAAAGAGAACCCTTGAGGCCCTCTGAAGGAGGTAAAAAATGAACTAAACCATGAGGTAATAAGTTTTTCCCTAAGAGAGCTGACCGATGTGTTCATAGCATCTGTCAGACAGAAGGAAATAGGGGGCAGAGCCTTCTCCACACCCTCCTCACTGTTTTAAACTATTTTAATGAACTGCCTTACATTTAAATTAAAGCATACCCTAATTTTCACTTGATTACGTATTCCTTGGCACCAGTCAAGCAGCTGTCACCTTTTCTGGATTTCTGGAGGTGAAAAACAGGCTGTAAATAAAAATAATCTTCCCCACACCAAAGAAACAAAACAAAAACAACAACAACAAATTAACACAGTTTCTCTTTAAAATGGGAAAGGAAGACAAAGTTGAACTGTAACTGGTGCTATAAACAGATCACAGAAAGAATTTGACTATAGTTTTTTCAGCGATTGGAAGGAGAGAGAGCAATGGTACTATGTTGTTTATTTAGCTGATTTTATAGTTCATTCAGGCCTCTGCCTTTAATAGTGGTAATAATTAAGACTCTTTCAACATGGAACAGGATTGTGATTTAAAATAGTAGCTCCACTTGGCCATAGAATAAATGAAAAGTGTCCCTTTTTCAGGCGTTCCAGAAGTAGAGAGAGGGACAGAAGCCGAGAGCGGAGACGATCTCGCAGTAGAGACAGGAGACGCTCAAGGAGTAGAAGCCGGGGCCGGCGATCCCGATCCTCCAGTCCTGGCAATAAAAGCAAGAAAGCTGAGAACAGGTAATGTTTTTATTGAACTGTATCTATCAGGCAGGTTGGGAACTGCTCTCTTCTTTGAGCATTCCTTCCCCCCCCCTTTTAATTCATAAATAATTACTGGATTCGGCTGGCAGAATTTTATTTTAGTAGGTTATAAAGCCTGTAACTCAAATTGAAAAGACTTGATTCTGTCAGTTTTAACATTGAATGCATTGTACCCTTATTGAATATATCCTGTTAATGGTCAGAAGTATATTTTATAGACATCTTTGCAGGAACTCTGTTTTATTCCTTTGAAATTATTTTGTTGGTATTTATGCCTTTGTAAGTAAAATGTACATAATTCCTTAAGATGCCAGAACATTCAATTTTGAGGTATCATTTATATCTGTTAGATATAATATGTTTACTCTTTATATTTCTCCTATCAATGGTTTGTTCTTTACCTATTAGTTTTTCTACCCTAGAGTTTTTCTACCCTAGAGTATAGTTGATATATGGGCTTGAATTTCTTTTCTGTATATTCTTTATACTAGTGATTAATATTTTCCTATGTTTATACGTTTTACTTTTATTTTACCAAGGTCAGCATAATACCATTGGGACTTGGGGTTTTTTTGTTTTTGTTTTTTTTTTTGAGACAGAGTCTCGCTTTGTTGCCCCAGCTAGAGTGAGTGCTGTGGTGTGAGCCTGGCTTACAGCAACCTCAAACTCCTGGGTTCAAGCAATCCTCGTGCCTCAGCCTCCCGAGTAGCTGGGACTACAGGCGTGAACCACCATGCCCGGCTAATTTTTTCTATATGTATTAGTTGGCCAATTAATTTCTTTCTATTTTTAATAGAGACAGGGTCTCTCTCTTGCTCAGGCTGGTTTCGAACTCCTGACCTTGAGCAATCCACCCGCCTTGGCCTCCCAGAGTGCTAGGAGTGCTATCCTATAATGAAATATTAATAAGACCATCTGCCTCATTCTATGCACAAAAAGCAATTCCAGACAGATTAAAGACCAAATTAGATGGCAAAACTATTAATATACATCTTTTAGAAGTTTATACTGGAGAATATCTTCCTCACTTGAGTATCTTCATCAAATCTGGAAGGATTTCTAAACTACTTAAAAAAGCACTAAATATAAAGGAGGGGAAAGGACTACTTAATTTGGTTACATTAAGAATTTTTTTTTTTTTTTTTTTGAGACAGAGTCTCGCTTTGTTGCCCAGGCTAGAGTGAGTGCCGTGGCGTCAGCCTAGCTCACAGCAACCTCAAACTCCTGGGCTCGAGTGATCCTTCTGCCTCAGCCTCCCGGGTAGCTGGGACTACAGGCATGCGCCACCATGCCCGGCTAATTTTTTATATATATATATCAGTTGGCCAATTAATTTCTTTCTATTTATAGTAGAGACGGGGTCTCGCTCTTGCTCAGGCTGGTTTCGAACTCCTGACCTTGAGCAATCCGCCTGCCTCGGCCTCCCAAGAGCTAGGATTACAGGCGTGAGCCACAGCGCCCGGCCACATTAAGAAATTTTATTCATTATAAGATACCATAAGTAGAGTCACAGTGCAAACCCATTAAGATTGTAAATTGTATTATTTATATATATTATCTTGCAGAATATCTTGGTATATTGCTCCACTTATTAAATTTTAACTATCCCATTTAAATTTTGTAATTGTTTTTATATTGTATGTCTGTTTTACTTGATTAAATTATTAAATATTTAGTAATGTTTAACATTAGTGTCATGGAATTAATTTTTGATGATATTTTCAGGGTATTTATTAATGGAATATGAAAATCCAATTGACTCTTAGAAGTTTATTTCTTACTTAAAAAAGAAAATATGTCTGTAACAGTATCCTAAGATGAATATTTCTAAGCACAAATACATGTTCGTCTTCTCATTTTCTTCGTTTTTTTGGTAGATCTAGGTCCAAAGAGAAAACAGATGGTGGGGAAAGTTCTAAAGAGAAGAAAAAAGACAAAGATGACAAAGAAGATGAAAAAGAAAAAGATGCTGGCGTATGTTTGCCAACTTAAAAACAGTTGCATAATATCAAACTTGTTTCTGTGATGACAAATTCTTGTTTTTTAAATGTTATATGCTTTGTTTCTAAGTATATGATAATACATAAAATAAATAGAAAGATAAAATAATAGTTGGCCTTATAAGAAAATGTTTTTCTGAAAAAGTTATATATTGATATACATTATTTTTACTTAAAAAATGTGATCATATCATATAAATATTATAAAATTACTCTCCAAAAAAGTTGTATAAATTTAGATTTATGAATTTAGACACATTTATGAATTTAGACACATGGTTTCCTCACATCCTTGCCCACATTGGAATATTGAAGTTTAATTTTTTTAATCTAATAGGAAGTAGTTGGCATCTTACTATTTTTAGTTGTATATCTTTAAATGAGTGAATATTTAAATGTTATGAACACAATATAATTTATATTAGAAATAAGAATATATTAAGTTTATTGACTACACCTTGAGCTGCCTCTTTATTTATATCTTTTGCCTCTTTTAGAATACATTATAGCTTCACTTCTTGGTTTTTTTTAGTTCTTTTTTTAGTTGGTCATTTATTTGAAGGATTTGCTTGGTGAACAGGGTAGCTAAGAAAAAAATAAAACACAGGAATTGGCTGGATGGTAGTGGCTCATGCTTGTAATCCCAGCACTTTGGGAGGCTGAGATGGGAGGATTGTTTAAGGCCAGGAGCTCAAGATCAGCCTGGACAATATAGCGAGACCCTATTTCTACAATTAATTTAAAAGTTACCTGCTTGTAGTGGTGTGCTCCTATAGCTCCAGATGCTGGCGAGGCTGAGGTGGGAGGATTGCTTGAGCTGGGGAAGTTTCAGTGAGCTAACTGCCGTCAAGCTTTGGTGACACAGTGAGACCCAGTCTCCCCAAAAGAAAAAAACCAGAAAGAACCAAAACATGAGAATCTTGGGATCAGGTTTCTTCTATGGAGGGAGCAGGACTGATTTTGAGGAAAGCAAATAAACTTTCTGGGGCTTAATCTTTAGAGAGGATGGATTTATTATAAGGGATATAAATTGAGCAAACCTTTTTTGTTGAAGAAGTAAATTAATTAATTAATTACAGAGTCTTGCTTTGTTGCCCAGGCTAGGGTGAGTGCTGTGGGGTCAGCCTAGCTCACAGCAACCTCAAACTCCTGGGCTCAAGCGATCCTCCTACCTCAGCCTCCCGAGTAGCTGGGACTACAGGCATGCGCCACCATGCCCGGCTAATTTTTTTTTTTACATATATTTTAGTTGGCCAATTAATTTCTTTCTATTTTTTTGTAGTAGAGATGGGGTCTTGCGCTTGCTCAGGCTGGTTTTGAACTCCTGACCTTGAGCTATCCACCCTCCTTGGCCTCCCAGAGTGCTGGGATTACAGGCGTGAGCCACCTCGCCTGGCCAGTAAATTTATTGTATAACACAAACATAACCATATCAGAAAATGGTTAGGGGGTCAGAAGTAATTCTTCGTAATCCCAGGTTCTGGAAACTCTATCAGAATTACAATTTTGTGATATTTTCTGCTTGTTTTTTACATGCATATTTCTGTAAATAGCTATAATTATAGCATTTGTAAAATTTTGATTCCTATAATGCATAATCTTTAAATTTCTAATTATGGCTGTGAAAGTGGTTTACTTCCTCCCCTTGAGAGTATTAATAGTCTTGTGAAAACTTTAGAGTGACTGTGTCTAGGAAACAAAGACCTAAAGCCTAAAAGAACAAAACTTTTTTTTTTTTTGAAACAGAGTCTCACTCTGTTGCCTGAGTGCGGTGGCATCAGCCTAGCTCACAGCAACCTCAAACTCCTGGGCTTAAGCAATCCTTCTGCCTCAGCCTCCCAAGTAGCTGGGACTATAGGCATGCACCACCATGCCCGGCTAATTTTTTCTATATATTTTTAGTTGTTCTGTGTTCATCCCCTGTCCTGTAATCGGGCCATGTCAGCCAATTAATTTCTTTCTATTTTTAGTCGAGACGAGGTCTCACTCTTTCTCAGGCTGGTTTTGAACTCCTAACCTTGAGTGATCCTTCTGCCTTGGCCTCTCAGAGTGCTAGAATTACAGGTGTGAGCCACCGTGCTTGGTCCAGAACTTCTTTATCATATTGATACAGTTTTTTTTTTTTCCCCCTTCACTCTGTTGCCCAGGCTGGAGTCCAGTGGTGTGATCATAGCTCACCTGGGCTCAAGCGATCCTCCTTCTGCAGCCTCCCGAGTAGCTAGGACTACAGGCATGTGCCACCTTGCCTAGCTAATTTTTAAAATGTTTTGTAGAGATAGATTCTCTATGTTACTTAGGCTGGTCTTGAACTCCTGGCTTCAAGGGATCCTCTGTCTCAGCCTCCCAAAGTGCTAGGATTATAGATGTGAGCCATTATGCCCAGCCATAGCTTTCATTTATTCACTAATTTGTAATAGAAAATTGCTTTTTATGGAGACAATTTTGGTGGAGTTTGGAGGATTTAAAATTGAGAATAAATGGATTGAGTTGGTCGTAAGTGTGAAAAAAAATAACAAAAAAGAGAATAATGGAGTATTTTACATACTAATTGACTCAGTATCTATTCTGAGGAAGAAATTGAATTAGTATGTATATATTGTTTATAACTAAAATGAGACTAATTTTTGGTATTTGAAATCTCTGTTTTCTTATTTAAAGATGCTTTTTATTGTGATTTTTTTTTCTTTTTTTTTCCAGACACAGTCTCACTGTGTCACCCTGGCTAGAGTGCCATGGTGTCAGCCTAGCTCACAGCAACCTCAAACTCCTGGGCTCAAGCAATCCTCGTGCCTCAGCCCCATGAGTAGCTGGGACTACAGGCATGCACCACCATGCCTGGCTAATTTTTTCTATATATATTTTTAGTTGGCCAATTAATTTCTTTCTATTTTTAGTAGAGACAGTGTCTCACTCTTCCTCAGGGTGGTTTCCAACTCCTGACCTTGAGCAATCCTCCCGCCTCAGCCTCCCAGAGTGTTAAAGATTACAGGTGTGAGCCAACACACCCAGCCTGTGATTTTGTTTTTATCATGGATATATTTACATAGATGTGTGATCTAAATTTGGTTTACATTAAGGAATTTGTATGTATATGTGTTTTTTCCTTTATATTTTAGGAAACATGATTTGGAATGTCACTTGTTAATGCTGGTTTTGCTTTTTATTTTCCCTTTGTCTCTCTTTTTCTTCCCCAAGAACTTTGACCAGAATAAACTGGAAGAAGAAATGAGAAAGCGAAAAGAACGAGTAGAGAAATGGCGTGAAGAGCAACGTAAAAAGGCCATGGAAAACATAGGGGAACTTAAAAAGGAAATTGAAGAGACCAAACAAGGGAAAAAATGGAGTTTAGAGGATGATGATGGTATATTTGTAGCCTAATAACCTATATAACAGCTCATGTAGAATATTATATATTATAGATTATGAGTAATATTTCATGTTGAGATTTTTTTTAGCTTTTTAATTGTCCATAGAATATATAATATTTGTCATTTTAACAATTTTTGCTATACAACTCAGTGGTAATATGTACATTTAGTGTTGTACAGCCATTACCACTGTCTGTTTCTAGAATTTTTTCATCATCCCAAACAGAAACTGTACCCATTAAATAGCGCCCCATCCTGCCTCCACCACTCGCTCATCGTGCCTCTTGTAACCTCTACTTTCTGTCTCTCAATTTACCTATTTTAGGTACCTCATATAAGTGAAATCATACAATATTTGTCCTTTTGTGTCTGGCTTATTTTACTTAGTATGATATCTTCAAGTCTCACTGATGTTGCATGTGTGAGAATTTTCCTTCCTTTATATGACTGAATAAGATTCCATGTATGTATGTGCTTTTGGGTTTTGTTTTTTTTTGAGACAGAATCTTGCTGTGTTGCCTGGGCTAGCTGGAACTATAGGCATGCACCACAATACTGGGCTGATTTTTCGTATTTTTAGATTGTCTTGAATTAAGAGTGATGCGCTATTTTTTGTGTTTGAAAGAAACGTAATTGAAAGAAAAGAAATACAGGTTTTTTCTGTATTTCTTGACAGAAAACAACTCCAAATGGTACCAATTCCCACACAGTTGAACACCCACGTATAAATTTTGACTCCCCAAAAACCTAACAACAAATAGCCTACTGTTGATCAAAAGCTTTATTAATAACATACAGTTGATTAAGACATATTTTGTATGCTGTGTGTCTTATATACTGTCTTCTTACAATTAGAGAAAAAATGTTATGGGACTCATAAGAAAGAAAAAATATATTTACTATTCATTATGTGGAGATCTTTATCCTCATTGTCTTCATGTTAATTACATTGAGGAAGGAAAAGGAGCAGTTTGTCTTGGTGTCTCAGGGGTGGGACAAGTGGAGGAAAATCCACATGTAAGACGACCCATGCATTTGAAACCTATGTTCAAGGGTCACCTGTCATTAAAAGTGTCATTTAGCAGAGAAAGTTTTTAGTTTGGTGTCTAGCAGCATAGCTGTAAAAATCTTATATTGGAGATCCATCTTTTAGACATAGTCTTTCTTTATGACTCTTTCCAATTAAATATATATATATATATATATATTTTTTTTTTTTTGAGACAGAGTCTCGCTTTGTTGCCCAGGCTAGAGTGAGTGCCGTGGCGTCAGCCTAGCTCACAGCAACCTCAAACTCCTGGGCTCGAGTGATCCTCCTGCCTCAGCCTCCCACGTAGCTGGGACTACAGGCATGTGCCACCATGCCCGGCCAATTTTTTCTATATATATTAGTTGGCCAATTAATTTCTTTCTATTTTATAGTAGAGACGGGGTCTTGCTCTTGTTCAGGCTAGTTTTGAACCTTTATTTGTTTTGTTCATTGATTCATCCAAGCTCCCTGTACAGTGTTTGGCTTGTGTAATAAGTGAATAGTATTTAAAAGCTATGTATTTAAAAACTATGTAATCATGTAAGATTATTTATTATACAATAAGCTATATATGAATGTATTATAAAATATGTAATTATATTGCATTTTAAAGTTTATACAGATTAATAAGGAGAAAAGCAGATTACTTTTTTCTTTTGATTGTCATTAAGTTAATTTGAATTGTAAATTGTGACATTTATCATTGTGTATCAGTTGGCATATAATTGGTGTTTCACTATTGCAAAATATTTCATGTTTTTTATTTTAGAAGTCTGGGCCAACAGTTACAAAAGTTGTCACTGTTGTGACCACAAAAAAAGCAATTGTAGATGCTGATAAGAAGAAAGGTGAGCTGATGGAGAACGATCAGGATGCCATGGAGGTGATTTTTCATTAATTTTGAGTTTGTGATACTACCCTAGAAATACTTATCAGAAAGCATTTATGGAGATGTACTTTTCATTTACATGAACTGTTACTATTAGGAAGAATTCTTGCTATTCTTTGTATTATAGTATAATAGTATTGTAGCTGTATTTATGCAGTTGGTAGAGCATTCTGACATCTTTCACCCCTTGCTGTATGTCTGTTTTTTTATTCCATTGCTCCTCCTCAGCTCACCTTAGCATATAACACGGTGAGAAGAAATGAAGTGAATGAATTAAATTTCTTCCGATTAACATATGCTGTAAAGATTATATAGTGAGAACAGTAGCAAAATTTCATTTAAGTCCTCTCTGAGAATTATTATTTTAGCTTGTTACTGGCATTATAATTTTCTATAAGGGCAAAGAAGAAGGAAACTAAGTTGAAAAATTCTTTAGGAGCTGATTGACATGTTTCTGTTGAAAAGAACAGACATCATTTAAGGTGATTTTGAAATTATAAGATTTAAGCTTGCTGGAGCAGCACAAAAATCTTGTGCGTCAAGTAGTCTGCTTTAGAAAGTAAAATGTAAAAGCTAAGGAGTAGTTTCTAGGAGAGGAGGATTTTTAAAGCTAGGAGGATTGCTTCCCATAAGGGGAAAGTAGTAATGGAATCAACTCTTTTTTGTTGTTTTTTTGTTTTTTTAAACTATAGTATTCTTCAGAGGAGGAAGAAGTTGATCTTCAGACGGCCCTTACAGGTTATCAGACAAAACAGAGAAAACTTCTAGAACCAGTTGATCATGGAAAAATAGAATATGAACCATTCAGAAAAAACTTTTATGTTGAAGTCCCAGAACTAGCAAAAATGTCTCAAGAAGGTAAAATTCTCTTTTATTCATACATTGTTTATAGTGGAAACAGAGGAAGATACCCTCACTTTGCCCATGAGGAATGAAGGTTATTAGTACCTTTGAGTGGAAGGAGGTTGTTTTTGGCAGTATTAAGATATGATCAAAAATTAATTCACCTTATGTGGTTTAGATTTTTAGGGTTGCAAAGCTTCATGTGAAGGTACAAATAAAATATTTCTATTAGTCTTTTCTTTCTGGGATTTGAGAGTTAGGAACCACTGTGAATCTGTGTATTACTGGTTTAATAAAGGTACTCTAGGCAATTCTTGTTAGGAAAACAAGTGGTTATGTTACTTGTGGTCAGTCTTTTTTTTTTTTTACGTAATTTAATGATAAAATGAAAGCAGTTATTTTTTTAAAAAATATCTTTATTTCATTTATTTTGTTTTGTTTTTGAGACAGGGTCTTGCCCTGTTGTCCAGGCTTAAAGAGCAGTGACATCATCATAGCTCACTGTAACCTCAAAATCCTGGGTTCCAGTGATCCTCTTGCTTCAGTCTCCTAAGTAGCTGGGATTACAGGGACACACCACCATGCATGGCTGATTTTTCTTTTTTTGTGGAGACGGGGTCTCGCTTTTGCTCAGGCTGGCCTTGAACTCCTGACCTCAAGTCATCCTCCTGCCTTGGTTTCCCAAAGGGCTAGGATTACAGGTGTGAGCCACCGTGCCCAACCTGAAGATTCTTTATCTACCATGCCAAATTGAAAAGTAGAAGGCAGGCCGGGCATGGTTGCTTATGCCTGTAATCCTAGCACTCTGGGAGGCCGAGGCGGGTGGATTGCTCAAGGTCAGGAGTTCAAAACCAGCCTGAGCAAGACCCCATCTCTACTATAAATAGAAAGGAATTAATTGGCCAACTAATATATATAGAAAAAAATTAGTTGGGCATGGTGACGCATGCCTGTAGTCCCAGCCTCTCAGGAGGCTGAGGCAGTAGGATTGTTTGAGCCCAGGAGTTTGAGGTTGCTATGAGCTAGGCTGACGCCACCGCACTCACTCTAGCTTGGGCAACAAAACAAGACTCTGTCTCAAAAAAGAAAAAAAGAAAAGTAGAAGGCACCAATAGAACAGTATTTAAGAGTTCTTAATTTGGATTTTGTTTTGTAGAGGTGAATGTATTTCGATTGGAAATGGAGGGTATTACAGTCAAAGGAAAAGGTTGTCCCAAACCAATTAAATCTTGGGTCCAGTGTGGAATTTCCATGAAGATCTTAAATTCCCTAAAAAAGTAAGTGGTTGGTGGTCATCCACATTTTTCATGTCTTGCTGCTCAAGATAGCCCTTTCACACAAATATTTCTCAGGGTTACATTTTTAGTCTAATAGGAAAATTTATTCTTTTTTTTTCTTAAATGGCTTTATTGAGATATAATTTACATATCATAAAGTTTGTCCTTTAAAGTATACAATTTAATGGTTTTTCAGTGTATCTATATAGTTGTGCACCCATAACATAATCTAATTTTAGAATTTTCATTATCCTGAAAAGAAACCTGTGTCCCATAGCATTCATCTCTCCTCTACTTTATTCTGAATAATCATTAATCTGCTTTCTATCTGTATAGATTGGCTGTTCTGAACATTTCATAAAAACAGGGTCATATATAGTCTTTTGTGATTGGCTTATTTCACTGAGCATGTTTTTAAGATTCATCTACATTGTGGAATGTCTTAGTACTTCATTACTTTTTATTACCAAATAATTGCATTGTATGCATATACCATATTTTGGAAGAGCTCATTTTTGTGGGACCCAGAGGGGCCCAGAGATCTTAATTCTTAGCTTATCTTCCTGTGGTTTTCTTTTTAAGGCATGGGTATGAAAAGCCCACACCAATCCAAACCCAAGCGATTCCTGCTATAATGTCTGGACGAGATTTGATTGGCATTGCTAAGACTGGAAGTGGAAAGACCATTGCATTTCTTTTGCCCATGTTTAGACATATCATGGATCAGAGGTCATTAGAAGAAGGAGAGGGGCCAATAGGTATAATTCTTTTCGTTAAACTATTTTTTTCAGATAACAGCTTTGTGTTCAGTTAATCGGAAAGACCTGATACTTTATGATGTTCTTAATGATGTCAATAAAGATGTCTTTATATACATTTCCTTTATCAATTTGGCACTTTGGGGCTGATTTCCCCTTACCAGCAGGTGGAGTGAGAATCTTCAGAGCTCTGGAGTGACATCTCAGAAGTACAAAAACAGCCTCTCCTGGCACAGCTCAGTTTTTAAACTCTGACTCGGCAGGTAGACTCCTTGTGCATCTATCTGTTTATTTATGTTGAGGTTTGTTCTTAGCCCAATATCGATGGATATCTAAACTCAACATAGAAAATAGTAGGGAAATATATTTTCCTGGTTTTGGGGGCCTTAAAAGGCTATAGTGCCAGCATTTCATTCAGGATTAGGTCTTCAGATTCAGATTTCTTGGTTCAGTTTGGCAGAGATGTCTTCTGCAGATTTGAGTAGGGTTTTGGAAAGTTGTTCAGGTCCTCTCTTGGAAACACAGGGCACAGTATATTTGTTGTCTGTCTGTGCCCCTCAGAACAGGTTGTTTCTGGAAACAGCGGTATGGCTTCTTCGGCACAGTGAGTTACTTGATTTTCTTTGTTCTGTGATTTGCAGTTGAGAACTGTTTGCATTCTGTTCAACGAAGTATTTTCCTGAAGGTTGAGTGAGGCATTTAACTCTCATTTATCTTCTTATAGCATGTTCTTAAAATCTACTTATGCTTATCCTTCACCACAATCTCTGCTGTTGTAAAGCTTTTGAAATAGTTTTCAGAGGTGCATAAAACAAATTAAAACAAAAATTAGATGAAGAGTTCTGAACTTTATTGCAGAGGTTAAATTTAACACTTTAAAGCATACCCTGTTAAGAGTTTTGGTGGTTAGGCTATTGACATGTTTGTCTTTTCAGCTGTCATCATGACTCCAACACGAGAACTGGCTTTACAGATTACTAAAGAATGTAAGAAGTTTTCAAAGACCTTGGGACTTAGAGTGGTCTGTGTTTATGGAGGAACAGGAATCAGTGAGCAGGTAGTTACAAAAGAAATGTTCACTTTTTTCATTCTTTTCTCAAATTGAATGATTCAGGAAAGTAAAGTGATTATTGATTTTAGTGTTTTGAATGGTAATTGCTTTTAAAATCTTAAAAAATATGATGTGTGAAAATAATAGTAACAATGAGTTGTATTATGCATGATGAATACATTCTGGAGATATTGTGATTATAGTTAATATTATATGCTTAAAATTTGTTGAGCAAGTAGATGTTAAATATTCTTACCACAGAGGAAAAAATTGGTAACTATGTGAGGTGATAATGTTAATTAGCTTGATTGTGGTAATCATTTCATAATTTATATGTGTATCAAAACATTTTGTATACCTTAAATATATATAATTTTTTTGTCAATTATACCTCAGTAAAGCTGAGTTAAAAAAGAACAGATTATGTTAAAGTGATATTTTAGAATTTTTGAGTCACATTTACATTAGCTTGTCCCTCTTTCCTCTTACCCTGCCTGAGAAAGACAGATACGTATTTCATTTTATTTAAAAAGTTTTTTTTTTTTTTTTTTTTTTTGAGACAGAGTCTCACTTTGTTGCCCAGGCTAGAGTGAGTGCCGTGGCGTCAGCCTAGCTCACAGCAACCTCAAACTCCTGGGCTCGAGTGATCCTTCTGCCTCAGCCTCCCAGGTAGCTGGGACTACAGGCATGCGCCACCATGCCCGGCTAATTTTTTATATATATATCAGTTGGCCAATTAATTTCTTTCTATTTATAGTAGAGACGGGGTCTCGCTCTTGCTCAGGCTGGTTTTGAACTCCTGACCTTGAGCAATCCGCCCGCCTCGGCCTCCCAAGAGCTAGGATTACAGGCGTGAGCCACAGCGCCCGGCCTTTTGTTTTTTTTTTTAAGAGATGAGGTCTCACTCTGCCACCTTAGCCTCCCCAGTAGGTGGGACTAAAGGTATAGCCCACTGTACCTGGCATATTTTTCATTTTACAGATGAGAAATTATTTAGAAAGATTTAAAAAGTTGGCCAATTAGGTTAAAAATTCTGGAGTTTGCCCTACAGTGTAAATCTTCTGATTCCTAAACATTTATTCTCTTAATGCATAATGCCATCTTTAAAAGGTGGTGATATGAGGCTGGGTGTGATGGCTCATGCCTGTAATCCTAGCACTCTGGGAGGCCGAGGCGGGCAGATGGATCGAGGTCAGGAGTTCGAAACCAGCCTGGGCAAGAGTATGACCTCGTCTCTACCAAAAATAGAAAAAATTAGTTGGACAACTAAAATATATAGAAAAAATTAGCTGGGCATGGTGGTGCACACCTGTAATCCCAGCTATTCGGAAGACTGAGGCAGAAGGATCGCTTGAGCCTAGGAGTTTGAGGTTGCTGTGAGCTAGGTTGATGCCATGGCACTGTAGCTGGGGCAAAAGAGTGAGACTGTCTCAAAAAAAAAAAAAAGAGAAAAGAAAAGGAGGCCGGGTGCGGTGGCTCACGCCTATAATTCCTGCACTTTGGGAGGCCGAGGCAGGAGGATTGTATCAGCTTAGGAATTCGAGACCAGCCTGAGCAAGAGGAAGACCCCATCTCTACTATAAATAGAAAGAGATTAGCCAAAGAACTAAAAACAGAAAAAATTAGCCAGGCGCGGTGGTGCGTGCCTGTAGTCTCAGCTACTTGGGAGGCTAAAGGCAGGAGGGTCGCTTGAGCCCAGGAGTCTGAGGTTGCTTTGAGCTAGGCTGATGCCATGGCACTCTAGGCCAGGCAACAAAGTGAGACTTTGTCTAAAAAAAGAAAAAGAAAAACATTGATCTATATAGGATCACTATTTTTTACTAGTCTATTATGTCCCCTTTTTGATTTTGAGGGATAGTGGTAAATTAAAATTAGTAAAATTCTCTATTTTAACTTGGGTTTAAATTTAGAGTACCATATTGTCATGTTGGTCTATCTACTTGTTTAGTAGTAACTTAGCATTCCATAGAATTAAGCAGGAAGCTTTTAGTTTTCCCGTCAAACCTCACTGATTTGCCTTATAGAGCTATACAAGGACCAAATGCCATATATACATACACACAAACACATATATATGGTTTTTTTTCTCCCTAATATGGAGTCTCACTCTTTCACCCAATTTGGAGTGCAGTGGTATGTTCATAGTACGCTGCAGTCTCTAACTCCTGGTCTCAAGGGATTGCTCCTGCCTTGGCCTCCCAAAGTGCTAGTAGTGAGCCACCACATCCAGCCTTCAGGTGCTATATTTTTAAATGTTTAAGTGAGCATTAGTGATAGACTATACAATTTTATGTTTTTTATTAGATTGCTGAGCTGAAAAGAGGTGCTGAAATTATTGTTTGCACACCTGGTCGAATGATTGATATGTTAGCAGCTAACAGTGGTAAGTCAGGGGTATTTTTTTGTTCTCTTTTTCTTATTTTTTAATTCTGTACATTTTTGTTAAAGCATATATTAGAAACCAAAGTGTTTCTGCATTTTTTTCTTAAAGCTGTAATATGTTAAAATTTGTATTGTAACAAATTTATTGTTATAAACATTAATAATAACTTTGCAATTTAATTTAAAATTTCTGAATGAACTCCATTTGATCTTACCTTGGATTCTTAATCCATTTTTGGCCTAGCTGTGCTTTTAAAAGAGTAGGGAGGGGTACTATCCTTTTGTTTATTATAAAATTTAGACTTTTTCTCCCCCTTAGCTAGTATCTTTTTTACAATACAGGATAAATTAAGATATTGCAGCTTCAAGAAATTTTATCTTTTGTAAATATTGCATGTTTTTTAGCTCAAATGTTATGCTTTGTTAAATTATTCCCTATCAAAACTGTTACTAAACTGTTGACATTATTTAACTTCTGTGGAGAAAGGCCCTTCAAGATTTATAGAACTGGGCTTCCGAGACTTAAACCATCAAAGGTAGGTAATTTAATGCTGTTCCCAACCTTGCAAAACTAATTCAGACTGCAAATGTTAGTTGGAATACTTAAATATTAGACATTACTTATTTTGGCTCATTTCTAGTTTTTGAAGAAAACACTTGCAAATGTTTCCATTGCAGTATTCAGTATATATATATAATAGAGTATTAAAAACTGTGAGTAATGCATGTTTCTAATAGCATTCTGCTTGAATTTCTGTATAAACTTAATTCTAATTATACATAAAGTTGGCAAAGTGACATTGAAATTGTTTGATAAGTCATTGTGCTTGTACAGCATACAAAAAGTTTTGGGTTGAATGCTCATTAAATAATCCCTTGTTTTTTCTCAATGCTGCATTGAATAAGTTTCCTCCTGAAATTCATCTTGATTAATTTTACCTTTTTCCCTTATCTGTCCTTTTGATCTATCTTTAATAACTATTTTATATATGTTTTTGCCAGGTGATTGATTCAACAGTTGGTAGCAATGCTTGTTTTACTCCTTTAGAAAGGGTTTCCTGTGTGTGTATTTAGTTTTCACTGATTAAGAAGCCAGTTGCATTTATTTAAACCAGTGGGAGCACTTAATAAAATTGGATGTGTATCTTTGTTTAGAAAAATGTATTTATGTAATACATTTCGTATTTAAAGTTTTTTTATAAAATGTTAATTTCTTATGTCAAATAGCTTCTTGTTAATGGTTTGATATGACCATTTAAGAAGCTGCTAAATATATGGAAGTAAGTTATAAAGTAGCGTAAAGAGAAGTTTTCTGCGTCTGAAGTAGTTAGCACTGGAACTTGCTTTCCACACATACGCTGTAATCTCTAATATGTTTTTTTCTAGGTGATGCTGTCAGTAATGGCTGATGTGGCTCGATGCTTCATCTCAGTCTTAGTTTTATGATGTGTTTTGGAGAGGGCTGTTTTCTGAATTTTACAGGTTCTTCAGGCCCTATGATGGTATGCAAGAGATGAGTTTGACAAAATAAAGGGCCTCATATACCCATTGTCAGAAAGTATTTGCCACTAGAGTAAGACATTGTAGATCAAAATTTCTTTCACTGTTTAAAGATACCTAACCTACCCCTCTGGTTAAGTCAGGCATTTTAGTTCCCTTACAGTTTTTTAAAGTTCTTGGTAGCCATAAAATGAATTGTAAGTGATTTTTAGTTTTCTTTTTGTCTTTATTTTTTCTTCTCATCTTAGGCCGGGTCACGAATCTTCGAAGAGTAACGTATGTTGTTTTAGATGAAGCAGACAGAATGTTTGACATGGGTTTTGAACCACAGGTAATCATTACATTTCTTAAGCGTTTTGGAATATAACTATAACCTTGTAACTGCCATGAGAATGAAATGTTTGTGTGGTTCTGAATTCACACACACACACACATATACACACACACTTCTGTTGCATGATAAATACAGAAGATTGGGGACATGTTGAATTGAAGTAGATAAATAGATATTTATGTTTCAAGAGTCCTCGTAAAATTTGTTCAGGAGGCATTTATACAGGCTTTTCTTAGCCATCTAAAACCATCACTTTTAAAACTAGAATTGGAGTATTAATAATAGAAGCTTAAACTTTCATATTTTCTAGTTTTCATTGTTCTTTTATGGTATTTTAAAATTTTATAATTGAGGTAGCCTCTATTCTACAAAATAGAATGAGAGCTCTCCCTTATTGTCCTTTTTAATAAATTGTTTTAATTTATACTTTTAAGTACCTCATGATCTAGATAGTACATGTTATTTACATTTACCAAATGTAAAAACTAAGGCCCAAAGCATTTATCTAGCTTAGGTTTTATATTTTTTTATACATGCTGTTTGCTGAATTACAAAATTTTAGTGATACATATTTATGGAAACACATGTCAAAAGGCTGTTGAAATTTTTCTTAACAAGAAGAGCAATGTGAATTGTCAGTATGCTATGGATGGCAAAAAAATATGATCATAGACTGCAATAATAGAAATGGGCATGGGAAAGGGATAAGGTAAATATTGTGTTTAGCCTTTTTAGTTTATTCATGTATTCTCCAAAAATGTATTGCCTGTCATGTGATAGTACATGCATTGTATTTAGATTTAGAGACTGCATTCTAAATGTGCTATAAAGCATACAAAAGAGTGAACAGGATTATGGTAATGCTTGTACCATGTGAGAAACAGCTACAGTAATGAGAAATATTTAGCTTGGAGTACAGGACTGGATTGCATTCTTTTACTCTTTGAGGGTCTGTCATATGAAAGAAGCATTGAATTTATTCTTCTAGTTTCAAAGTGTAAAACTGGGACCAGGTGAGGAAGTCATACAGAGCTTGATCTGAGCTTAGTTTGAGGAAGGACTGATTAAACATTATTTGTAGGTGAAACAGGTTGTTTTGTGAGAGGGGGACAGGTATTGAATATCTTTTTCAGCCAGGTGTTCAAGCAGAGGCAAGGGATCCATTTGTGGAAAGACAGTAGAGAGAATTGAAGTATCAGAAGATGTAACTGTGTGCCCTTTAACATCTTTTCTACTCATGTAAAATCTTAGATTTCATGACAATTCCTTTTTTTCGAGACAGAGTCTCACTTTGTTGCCCAGGCTAGAGTGAGTACTGTGACATCAGCCAAGCTTACAGCAACCTCAAACAAACTCCTGGGCTTAAGCAATCCTACTGCCTCAGCCTCTCGAGTAGCTGGGACTACATGCTGTGCCACCATGGCCAGCTGATTTTTTCTGTATATATTTTTAGTCGGTCAATGTCTTTCTTTCTATTTTTAGTAGGGACGGGTTCTTGCTCAGGCTGGTTTCGAACTCCTGACCTTGAGCAATCTGCCCGCCTCGGCCTCCCAGAGAGCTAGGATTACAGGCGTGAGCCACCACCCCCGGCCAGATTTCATGACAATTCTTTAGGTAGATGCAGTGATACGGCCTTTCTGATAAATCAATTATGTTTTTCCATAATGAGTTCAACACAACATTTTCCATTGATAATGCAAAATGTGAATCATCCCTTGCCATAAGTACATCCATGTACATAAATACATGTAAACAGGTTTCAACAAAGTAAAGTTATTCAACATTCTCCTGCATGTACTTAGGTACATATTTGTATACATAAGTACAGAAGAGAGAAATGCTGAATAGTTGTTTATTTTGTTGATTCCTAAAATCCTGTTCAAACAGAGGAGAATTTAGATTTAGCTAATGATTATTTTGTGAGTTTTATAGATGAAAAACACTGATTTGGGATTCAGTGCCATGGAGCACTATTTTGATGTATAGCAAGCAAAGACACTGCTATGTAAATCAGTGTTGTGCTACTAAATACAAAATGCATCATGGCCACTGAGTGCAGATCTTTCAGAGTATGCTAAATTGTACAATGGCATGGGCAGTGGGTACAGGACCTACTACTGTAGTGGCCATGATGTGATTTAATTCCCAATTTTCACTGTTTTCTTAAATATAGAACCATGCCTGGAGGCATACTACTACCTGCTAACTTTTTTTCTAGATTGAAGTCACTGTGCACATTTGCATTCAGTAGCACCAGCTTTGATTTTAGTGCATGACAAGAGGGAACTCTAAATCAAACACAAATGTAAAAAAAAATGTTTTCTTGGAAGCCACCAATTATTTTTCTGAAGTATAGAAGGATTTTCTTTACTGTCCTATGCACTGTACAGGTCTTACAAAAAGATATTCTGTAAATGCTTTGTTTGTTTTTGGCAAGTCTCCTGGCTTCATTAACTACCTAGCCAATGACCCAGAAGGAAGCAGTAAGACTTTTTGGCAGCTCAAATGCAGGAATTAACCCTTATGTGTTTGACTCGAGAATTAAATCTTCCTAAATCTTAAGACCCAAGACAGATTCCAATAAGTTCATGGACTAACTTGGCATTCCATCACTGACTTGCCATATCTGTGTCCTGTTAAAGAAGGAGCATACTGAAAAGTTTCTGGAACTTTTTTTTTTTTTAGAGACAGGGTTTTGCTATGTTGCCCAGGCTGGATTTGAATTCTTGGGCTCAAGCAATCCTCCTGCCTCAGCCTCCCTAGTTGCTGAATAAAGGTGTGTGCCACTGTGCCCAGCTCAGAAATGCTTTTTATTCAGCAGCCCTGATAGCCAAGTGTAGGGGAGAGAACAATCAAAACCCTGACCCGATGTAACTGAGAAAGGGTTTCATGACTCTAGGGTCATTTTTAGGGGGCGTCTTCACAACTCTAAGCAGTCATAGGTGTTCATATTGTGAGTCTAAGCTCTGGTGTTCATTAGACTGTTACATGAAGTAGAGGACTTATAATTTATTTCAGGAAGATTGCTGTTCATATTGTGACAAGTGATAGAGTTAGCTTTGGTTTTTCTGAAAATCCTTTTTTATTGTCTTTCTGTCTATACTGAAAACAAAGATCATTTGTGAACATTCTAGGGAGGAAGACTGTGTGTTATTCTTTGAAGAGAATTTCAAGGCTGCGATATGGGCTTTAATGGAATTGTCTGCCTTATCCTTGTTTTCACATCTGTAAAATGAGAAGTTGAGAATAAATGACCAAATCATTAGACTTGTTCAGGTGATCAAGTACCCGAAAGTCATCATGCTTTTTATGTAGTGTCTTAAAAGATTGATACTTTAAATACCCTTACATCAACTTGCAGTGATACTGCTACCAAACTCAAGTTCTCAAACCTAATGTGGTTAATGATTTCTAATTTTCTTATTAATGTATTTCAGTTATTCAGTTGTTAATTGAATGAATATAATGTGGTACGTATCACAGCTGCTGGGGAGACATCGGTAAACTCTGTTTTCTTGAAATTTACTTTTTAATGAGGAGAAACAGATAAATAGTACACATCAGATTATAATATGCTGTGGAGAAAAATAATGTAAGGTAATAGAAAATGATGGAAGGAAAAGGGGATAAAGGGATGCTACTTATATAGGGTAGTCAAAAGAGGCCTTGCTGGTAAGGTGGTCTGAATAAAGTGAAGTACTGAGCCAAGGGGATGTTTGGGAGAAGGGCATAATAGGCAAAGAGCAAGTATTAATACAGAAGCCCTAAGTCATGTGGGAGCTTGCTTGGTCAGTGTCCCTGGGCAGAGTGAAGGGGGGAAAGCAGTCAGAGAGGGTGGGAAATGAGGGCAGAGAGAGGTGTGTATGGATATGTGATGCTGGTGGTATAATGAAAGAGGTCTTGTACACCTGGGCTATTCCTGGTCTTCCCAGTAGAGTTGTGTTGCTGTTTTAATTGCATCATTGTACAATGCTATGGCAATCTAAATGTTATTCATAGCTGAGCAGTGTAGTGAACTATGGTTCTTTTAACTTTCCTATACCTCTTTTTTTCCCCCTGGAGTTCTTAACTCTCCTTTTGTTTGTTTGCCTGGTTTCTTAGGTCTACATATACTTAAAACTAATTCAGTACCAAACTCTACTAGTTATCTACGTCTCTTCTCACAGTTATCAGTTCTGTTTCTCTTAAAGGGTTTCTTCTGAGCCTCCTGACCTGTTCCGGTCAGGAATTATTTTCCATCTGGCATACAGATATCATCTTGGGATCTCCGTCATTCTTAAGATCTCTTTTGTTTCTCTTCTGTATTGGGATCCCCAAAGCTCTGCCTTCTTAGAGTAGATCTTTTCTTAATTAACTCATGTTAAAAGGTTTCCTTCTGCTTGAGTGGGGTTTATGTTCTTCAAATTGATTTTCTGTTTGTTTTGGTCTCTGTTTTCAGATTAGAGACTTTATGTGGATATCTGGTAATCTGTAGTTAGCTTATGTTTGAGGGGTGGGAAAGATGTGACCTAAAAAGTGAGTTCAAAGCTCTGTGTCCTGGACTGGAACTTACTGACTGTGAGCTTCACTGGAATGATCTTGCTGGGTCTTTTTGCTAGAGATTCTCCAAGATTTGTATTTTCTGCTTTGTCCTTGAGCTGGATAGATTCCCCTAAGCAAGTCTTGGCTAGTTTCCTGCCTGTACTATGAAGGCCTGTCTGCTAATTCTGGGATTGGGAAAGAGGGTTTGGGGAGAATTAGGAGTCTCAGCGCCTAGTGTAATGCCCTCATTCGCAGAATGCCTTTAGCAGTGTGTGAAATTCCCTCGTCTAGACATGCTATGTTTCACTCTCTCCAGAGACACTAAATCTTTAGGTGGTTTACTGGAGTGGGAGGGACCATTGCATGGCGAGTAGAGTTGGGTGGAGGTCTGCTGATGTGATTGCTTCTTAAACAGACATTGTATCAGTTCTCCTTATTCTAGCACCTCACCCTCATTTCCACTTAAAGAGAACAAA